GGTTCTGTTCTGTTAACAGGAGGCTGCTTCATCTGCCCAGAGGCAGTATTATTATCTACCTGGAGATCCTAATGAAGTCCCTTGGAGGCTCTTCCGTGCCTTGTCCAGCGCACCACTCAGGCTGTGCTGGTGTCTGTATCTCCCTAGGCCTCTTCTCTTATTTTTCACAGTTGGCTTCTTTCTAGCTCGATTCTTTCGAGAATGTCCTTTAGCCTGTTGGCAGCACTGAGCGCCCCAGGACCACTCACAGTTGAACCTGAAAGATGGAGCAAAGCAGCAAAGATCTGAGGACAAATTCCGGGAACTGACTGCAAGCCCTGTGGATAGAGGCTGTGGGCGGGGGAGGAAGATGCTCTGGAGGAAGTGGGTGAAGACGTCCCGGCTGCTCCTACTGCTGCAGTGAGAAGTGAACTGCAAGGGCAGTTCAATCACAAGAGCACATGGCCACGGTACAGACCAGGAAAGACCACCAGTGTGAGAGCAGAGTCACCTCTCTAAGAAGTTCCTACAGGCCAGAAAGGCTTTATTCTTCCTTATGATTCCTGAAATCCTTGGCCAAAGAGAGTGAAGACATCCCCCAATGAGCAACAGGAGCAATGGGGGAGACCAAGAGACCTTAGCCAAAGAATCATTTCTCCTGTCCAAAGGAACTGAACGGGGGAGACCAAGAGACCAAAGGCCGAAGAATCATTTCTCCTGTCCAAGGAACTGAACACCAGCAAGGAAATGCCACAGAGAAGGCAGAGTTGGGCTGGAGCCCAGAAGAACATGGTAAACCCACAAATTTTAGTTGTGGAAAAAGACAGAGTCTGAATGAAGAGGTGAGTATTTCTTGGGCTAGGAGGGTAGATTCTCAAGTTTGGTTCTATGTGCTCATATAAAATACAAAGTCTGCTGTCTCAGAGACCTCTTCCCGGGAGGTCCAGGAGATTGGAGGGGACTATGGGACATGAGCCCAAATTTACCACTTACTTATGTTTCTTAAATAGTTTTAAGAATTTCTAATCTATGCAAAAGAACCACACAAGGAAGAAGACCTCACGCCCACCTCATCCTGTCCTGTGTGTGCACACACCCCCTCTGTCACACCACCCAGAGCAGGTGGCACAGAGCATGACACAAAACCTGTTTCAGTCCTCATCCCCTCAAAGCAAGAACGTTTTCCAATAATCACATCACCATTACTTCAACATAGAAAGCCAACATTAATTCAACATCACCCAAATTTCAGTGGCTTCTTAAATTTCACCCAAAGCCCCCAAATGTCCTTTATAGCTGTTTTCCCCTGGCCTCGTGCTAATAAGGGTTTGCAGACTGCCTTTGCTTTTTTATTTTTGGCCTTCCCAAACAAGAACACAGGCAGAATAATGTTCCTTAAAAATATCCATAGCCTACTCCACAGAACCTGTGAACATGTGACCTTATGTGGTTAAAGGGAGTTTGCAGATATTTTAGTTAAGAGTCATGAGATGGGGAGATTAGCCTGGATTATTGGGGTAGGCCCAAGGTAAACACAAAGGTCCTTATAAAAGGGAGGCAGGAGAGTCAGCATCAGAGAAGATGTGCCCATAAAGCAGAGATCAAATAAATAATGAAAATCAAGGACTCCAGGCAACCCCAAGAAGCCAGAAAAGAGAAAGCATAGATTCTCTCCAAGACCATCCAAGAGGAACAGCCTCGATTTTAGTCCAGGGGGACTTCTCACCTGTGGAACTGCAGGTGTTGTTTGGCCATGAAGTTTATGGCACCTTATTACAGCAGCAGTAGGAAACTAACACACTGGCCTCCTTATTCTTCGTGATACTGAATCCTTTCAGATCCAGGGCAATTGTCTTCAGAACTTATCACCGTGTCTCTTCCCCCTGGAGTAAAGCTGAACATTTCATCAAGAACCCCATGAGTGGTGATGTGCACCTGCCATTCAATACCCCGGGAGGAACAGAAGGTCAAATGTCCCACTACTGATAATGCTAAACTTGGCCCTTGGATCAGGTGGTAGCTCCCCAATCTCCTCATGGTAAGGACACACATCCTTACATTCAGAGTGACCTAGAGACTCTGCAGGATAAAACATGGAGAACACGTGCTTATCCTGCTCAACAGCCCTGCACCCAGCGGTGTCAGCGTCCATCAATCATTCCAGCTTGCAACACTTACTTCATCCTGGATTACAAAATGGTGCTCTTTAAATTCTTCCTCATTTACTAGCTGTTATTCTTCTGTAAAGCTTTTCTTCTCTTTTATTATGAGTATTCTGATGGATTTTTAAAAATTCCGTGTGCTGGGCAGTACCTGTGGCTCAAAGGAGGAGGGCACTGGCCCCATATGCCGGAGGTGGCAGGTTCAAACCCAGCCCCGGCCAAAAAAAAAAAAAAAAATTCCGTGTGTTATTTGGCTATTTTGTCTTTTTAATCTCCTCTGTCCTCTACCTTCTTCATTAATGACTGTGAATTAATGCTCAAATTGTCCCCACACTGGTCATTTCAAATATATCCATAGTAGCATGGGGTAAGATTCACCCTCCACCCAGGTACCATCTTGGCTGTACAAGGGACTGGCTGCAGGTTTCATGGATAAAACATACCAGTTAGATCCTTCTTAAGATAATGAAGCTTAACACCTGGTGCACTTCAATAAATGTAAGGGGGGCACAGTATGAAAATGGCTGTGGAAGTACTTACTGTGTCTCATCCAGCAGCTCTGGAGTCCACGCGAGGAATACTCAGACAGCAAACCAACAAGGGCGTCTCAACCAGAGGGAATGGCCTGAGCCAAGGCAAGGCCACAGGAAATGGCAGTTTGATGTGGCCAGTCCTCTAAGTTGATGTGGGGGCAGAGACACGTGAGGAAGGAAAAGGGGTTGGCCAGGTTCCAGGGCATTCACTGGCTTCTGTGACCATCCGAGGGAGTGTGGACAAATGCATTGAGCAGTTTGGAAGCCATGACACCATCCAGTGTGCCAAACATCTCCAGGTCCTGTACTGCATTTGCATGTGGGCAATTTAGCTTGTCCAATGGCCCAAAGGGGGTTTCCGGAAGGAGTGAAGACTTGGTTATTTATAAAGTTCTGTGCACTTGGTATCACCGTTTTGCAAGTTTGGTCATTGAGTTTTAGGGACAGGAAGCCCTTTGCCTGCCTAGCCAGTAAGCAGGGAAACCAGGATTTGAAGCCTAGCTGGAAAGTGAAGGCAGCAGAATACCCAGTGGTCCCCATTTGTGTGACACAGAAAGGATGATTAAGAAAATACTAAGGTTTCTTAGCAACTGGCTTAAACCAGGTGGGTCATGACACTGGGGTAGGGGATCAGAGCTCGGCCCAGTCAGCAACATGGGGGCATGAGGAGTAGCCCAGAGGTTGAAGTTCCCTGGGCCTAATCTGTGGACTTGAGGTGGTAAAACTAACCATGAGAGATAACTGTGCGGATTCACTGCCTTAATTTTCCTCATCTCTAACTTGGGGATAACATGAATGGTAATGAGAGTAATAAATGATAGGTACCATTTGTTCAACAATTATTGCATAAAATCTCTGCTCTGACACCTTGAGATTCTTCATCTGCAGCTGAGAGTAATAATAAACAATATGAAGCATTTACTGAACACTTACTGACTATAAATAAGTCTGTTTCCCTTGCCTACGGATTGGGAAAAGTGAATCATCACAATAATAGGTGGTAGCTATCACTGAGTATTTGCTGTGTGGGAGGAGGTCCTCTTTACAGAACACTATACACGTTAGACAAGGCGCAGCTAGACGAGGGCCCTGGCAATTCAAGCTTCTCCGCCTCTCTCTGCTCTGGCCTAAGAGCAGCCCCTTCCCCTCTCTCTGCACGAGCCACGCCCCCTCCCAGGGGTCACTTTCCCCAGTCCCCTAGCAGGCTCGCTGGCTGGTCTTCACCTCCCCTCCTCACTCAGAGCCACTTTCTCCCCAGACTTCCCAGACCAAGCTATTTAAAATCTTAGGCCTGGTACAGAGCAGACAATCAGCAATGTTTGTTCAATCAACAGATGTTCAGGCTCGGCGCCTATAGCTCAACCGGCTAAGGTGCCAGCCACGTACACCTAAGGTGGCGGGTTCGAATCCCCAGCCCGGACCCGCCAAACAACAATGACGGCTGCAACCAAAAAAAGGCCGGGCCGTTGTGGCGGGCGCCTGTGGTCCCAGCTACTTGGGAGGCGGAGGCAGGAGACTCGCTTGAGCCCAGGAGTTGGAGGTTGCTGTGAGCTGTAATGCCACGGCACTCTGCCCAGGGGGACAGCTTGAAGCTCTGTCTCAAAAAAAAAAAAAAAAAAAAAAACAGATGTTCAGTAAACGGCAGCAGCCTGGTGCACGGTGCCCTCAGGGGTTGGGTCCTCTAGGTCAGGACCCTGAGGTGAGTGCCAGAGCCCTGAGAAGATCGACAGATAACATGAGCCCCAAAGCAGGGCATAGAGGGAAAAGGCCTCGAGAGGACACGGGTCCGTGTTTGGGAAGGGCAGCCCCGGGCGTGGCGGGCAGGTCTGAGAGCCGGTGGGCAGGAGGCTCTAGGGGGCTCGGATTTCTTTAGACCAGAGACCCATAGGACCCCAGGACATGACTGGGTTTGTAAAAGGTTACTTGTAGGGCGGCGCTTGTGGGTCAAGGAGTAGGGCGCCGGCCCCATATGCCAGGAGTGGCGAGTTCAAGCCTGGCCCGGCCAAAACTGCAAAAAAATAAATAAAAAATAAAACGTTACTTGTGGCCCTTGTTGATAAAAATAGACAGTTCAGGGAGTCGAGACGAGGCTGTGGAGGTGGGTGGCCCTGCCGTATTGCCAGGGGGGACACACCAGTTCACTGAGCCGCCCTAAACCATTTATTGAGGTTGAGAACCTGGGGCTCCGCTGGTGGGCGAGGCCAGGACTAACCCCGCCCCAACCCCCCTCCTCGCCCCCAACCCTCCTCCAATGTCCCACCCCCTGGGGTGTGGACTTAGCGCAGCAACCTGAGGACAGTAGGAAATCAACGCCTTTATTTCTCGGCAGAATTTGAGGGAAGGCTGAGAGGCGGCGGGTCCTACAGGCCTAGCAGGTGTCAGGGTCAGCCGATGGCGGCTGCAGGTTCTCCTCCTCGCGGGCTCCTGGGAGCTCAGGCTCTGCCTGCGGGACCTGGGAGTCAGATACGAAACCCAGGTTGTCCGGCACATGGTAAACTCGTGTCAGCTCCAGGCCAGCCCGTGTGTCCCCCGCCAGCACCTGACCTGGTGCAGCCGCCTCTGGGGCCCGCTGCCCCTCCCCGCCCACTCCACTCTGAAAGGACCACCGAGGATCCCACCCGCTCCTCTTGGCTCAACCTCTGCCCACCTCGCCTTGGCTTCTCCGTCTCCCTACCTCTCCTCTGCCAGCCCGGGCCTCTGGGGCACTGCAGACCTGCTCCCCGAATTTCCCTAGTTCAGCCTTCAGCCTGTAGAGTAGGGGCAAAGGAGAGAGGAGGAAGCGAGAGTTCAGGAGGGCTTGGAAGGAAACCACTGAGGTATCAGAGACCCAAAGCCAAGAGAGCAAGAGGGGAGGTGGGGTGAAGACAAGGGTGGCCAGCTGGGGCCCGGGGCCCCGTCCCCAGCTCCTTCCCTCTGCCTCTCCCTCGTCGCCCCGCCTCCCTGCCGCCTCTCACCCCTCGTTCACTGCCCCGGAGCCCTCGACCTGGGGCGGTGAGCGCAGCTTCCGCTCCACCACCTGCAGCTTGGTGCCCACCAGCTTCCCTGTGGGCAGACTGGAAGTCAAAGGCAAGGCCTCCGCCCCCGCCCACCGCCCACCTTGACCCGGGGGTCTCACTCTCTGCCTGCAGCTGCTCCTTGCTCCTCTCCAGGGCTCGGATCTCCCGGGCCAGTCGCTGCTGCAGCATCTGGGAGGAGGAGGGGAATGAATGATAATCTAATGGAGGCCACATTGCCCGCTCCGACCCTCTGTGGGTTTCTCACAAAATCCTTGCCTACATTAGGTCACTCATTCATTCATTCAACTATTCATTAACTCCACGTGCAGCTTCTACTGCAGCTGCAGCCCCACATCCCCCTACCTCTCACTTCCTCTCCTTCCCACTCCACTCATTTCCGGTTCCTCACACTTTTCTGCACACTTTAGCCTCAGGGCCTTTACACTGCTCAAAGGCCTTCCCCACTGACATTACATGATCTAGCCTTGATTTTCCTAGTTAACGTCTGGGCATGCCATCTGCTGCCCCCACCCAGCTTGGTTGGTCCACAACTTTCTCCCTGCCAGAACACTGCCTGATGCCCCCATCAACCTCCGCTGAACGAAGGAGTGATCTCATCATGGCTTTCTCAAGGTTCTCATTTGCCACTCTAGGTGGGCAGAAGGAAAGCAGGGTCAGCAACGGCTACTCCAACAGTCTGGACAAGCGAGAATTGGGCAGACCTGAGGTCACAGCCAAGGGATTGAGTAGGTGGGTTAGAATAAGGAATTAGGCCAGGAGTAGTGGCTCATGCCTGTAATCTCAGCACTCTGGAAGGCTGAGGAAGGTGGATTGCTTGAGCTCAGTTCAAGACTAGCCTGAGCAAGAATAGAATAATTTAGCCAGGCCTGTGGCAGGTGTCTGTAGTCCCAGCTACTTGGGAGGCTGAGGCAGGAAGACCACTTGAGCCCAAGAGTTTGAGGTTGCTGTGAGCTGTGGTGCCATGGTACTCTACCCAAACTGACAGCGTGAGACTCTGTCGTAAATAAAAAATAAATAAATAAATAAGAAGGAAAGAGAGAGAAAGGAATCAAGGATTATCCCATGACCTGAGCAGGGGTGGACACGGGATTAGGCAGTGGAGACACTGAAGCCAGGGGAAGACTGGCTGTGGTTGGAGGTAAATAGCTCACGTGGAATTCCCAGAGGTCCTTGTGCTGGCCCATCACATCCTCCAGATCTTCTTCAACATTCAACCTGGGGACCCACATCAGGGATGAGAGGATACAGGCCAGACGCCACCTGGCCCACCCATGCCTGGGGTCCTCATGCACAGAACTTTAAATCCCTGCCTAGTGCCAGGAGCCCCATTGTGGGTATTACCCTGCAAGCTCAGTTCAAATAGCTCCTCTTTCCACAACCTCTTCCTGATGCAAGCCCACTCCCACTCTCCACCCAATGGCCCACCAGGCACCAGGCTTGGGAGTTATCCCAGATTCCTCTCTGTGGTCTGAGAGTTATTAGCACAAATTTTCTCCATGGACTCCTGAAACACATGCTTCCTGAGTAGGCAAAGGCAACCCTGGGGTGTATTTTCTGAATCTCCCCACTTCCTCCAGCAGGAGTGGACATCTGTTCACAGAATTCACCCTTCCCCTTTCCCCTGTTGAACATGAACCTCCATGGGTCTCTGTCAAGGCCATCATGCTGCTCATCCCAGCCCCCACTAAACCATGCCTTCCCAAGACAGGGGTATGGTAGTTAAGCATCACAGATTCTAAACTCCTGGCTGGAAGCCTGGATCTGCTACTCCACTATGACCCTGGGCAAATTGCTTAACTTCTCTGGGTCTCAGTTTCCTCATATGTAAAATAGTGATAGTGGTGGCAGGGTGAAATAATTGTCATTGTGAGGATTAGGCATATAAACGTAGGAGGCAGCTTCTTGCTATCTCTGCACCCATCTCCTATGAGGACAATCCTGTTCCATAAAGTCTGTTCTACATGTATCAACACTCATTAGATGGTGTGTGTAGTGTGGTTAAGTATACTCACACATTAACTGCCTATCACCAGGTTCATCACAGTTAGAGTCATGATGCACCAAGACCTGAGACCCTCAGTTACAGGAATGTGCTTAGTAAATATTCAGAGGATGCAGAAATGGATGGACAGATGGCTGGATGGACAGTTAAGTGGATGGGTGAGTGACTGGTTAGAAAGATGATAGCTGGTTGGAGACATGATGTGTCGAGGGCTAGTGGCTGGGTGGGGAAATGAAGGAAGAATTACTAGAAGAATAGACACATATCTGGATGATGGCTGAAGAAATGAATGGCTAGACAGATGGATGATTGGAAAGATGGTAGGATGAATGGAAAATGATTAGATAGAAGGTTGGAAATATGATGCCTGTGTGGATGGATGCCATGGATGGATGGATGGATGAATTGAGTGAGTGGCTAGACAGGAAAGTAGAGGGACAAGTGAATAAAAAGTTGACTGGGGGCCTAAAATAAGCAGAATGAACAAATGAATGGATAGCAGAGGACCTGGACAGCTAACAGGAAAAGACTGAGAATAGCACTAGTAGAATATATTTGATAAGGAAATTAGCAATGAAGAATTAAATGAATTAATCTTAATACTACCACCCAATATCAGAGATGGTCAGAGAAGTTGTCTGTTTGCTCTATTTTATAGAAAGGAAAAATTAAGAGTGTATGTCCAAGATTCATTTCCCCAGATCTTCCTTCCTCCTCCTTTAGGCTGGGGAATGAGGTGGGGAAGAGCTGGGGAAGGATCTCCTACCTCTGAGCCTCACTTTTCTTCTCTTGCAACTGGAGGATCCTCAGTGCCTCTGGGGGGAAAGAACCGAGGGGGATCTGGGAGAGCCCTTGGAGAGTTAAGGTTGGGCAGTAGTAGTGAACCAGGAGCCCCATGTCATGTCAGCTATCGGAGGGTACAGAGAGGACTGGGTGTTTACCCCAAGTGAAGTGGCAATCAGGGGGAGATCTGAGTAGAGGAGAAAGCGGCTGACATAGGTTTCAGTGGGATTCCGTGGCTGCTCTGGGGAGGACAGGCCTTGGTGGGGTGGTGGGGTACCATAAGGAACACACAGCCACTGGTAAATACCTTTCTTTTTGCTCAAGACTTCCTCTAGGTGAACTTTCTCTTCATTCACTGAAAAACACAATGGCACTTTCAGCCTCCAGGGGCCACACCTGGTATCCCTATTGAAACTTCATGCAAATGGAAAAGTCTCAAGGAAGGGGTGACACAGCGCCAGGAGAGGGAGGCCTCTTTTTGCCATCTCTTATGAGGACCATCCTATTCCAGCTTCTCCCTCTGTTCCCACATTCCCTATAATCTCTGAAGGAGTGAAGAACGTACAAGGTTACATTGACAGATGAATGAATATAAAGAAATAAATGCATGATGTCAGGTGGAAATAAAGGCTCTGAAGAAATAAATGGAGGGGAGTGAGAGTGACCTAGAAAGAGTGGGAATCTATTATTAGATGAGACCATTAAGGCCTGCCTGTCAGGTAGGGTTTGCCCAGAGAGCTGAAAGATAACATGAGACCACAAGAGGCAGTCCAGATCATGTGGACCAGGAGTACTATGGGCAAGGGAACAGTCTGTGCAAAGGCCCTGAGGTGTGCACAGGACACCAGCAGTGGTCATGGCTGTCGGGGGCCCTCTGTTGGCCCCACTTACACGAGTCTAATTCCCTATGCAGGGCCTCCCAGAGAGCACGGGTCTCTCCCAGTTCTTCGCTAGATTTCTTCTTCTCTAGGCCAAAGAAGGGAAGAGGACAGTGTGTGAGTGCAGCCTCTAACCTTGCTGTTCCTTCACAACTGTGACAGTGCGCATTCATCTTCAAACAACCCTGGAAGGGCCTAGATAAGGAAATCAAGGCATTCCAAGTCCAGGCCTTTTCTGTTGGCCCAGCTGGTCAGTCGATGTGTCCAAGTTTACCTTGCTGAAGCTCATTAATCCGGTTAATCAGGTCCTCGATCTGTGGCTCCAGGCTTCCCTCTGAAGAAAGAAGGAAAGAAAGAATGAATGAATGAGCTAAGATGACAAGACACCTGGCTGACCAAGGCAGATGAAGGGAGTGGCCCTGGGTCTCTGCTGCTATATCAGTCAACAGGCATATATGGAGCATGTGCGTGTGCGAAGCTCTGGAAGAGGTCCTTGCCAGGCTTGCATTCTGGGTGGGGGAGATGGACATTGAACAAAGATACATGAATCAATTCAGGTGGTGGTCACGGCCATGAAGTTAAATATAGAGGTAAGGTGTTGAGGAGTGAAAGGGGAAAGGCTCCAAGTCAGGTAAGAAGAGCAGGCCCTGAGGTTCTGTGGGTACAGAGTGTGGCAAGGGAACAAGTGGGACTGAAGCACGTGCCCAGAGGGATGGCGAGGGGCTGGTGTGGCTCAGTGCAGTGAGCAAGTGGAGAGCTGTAGGACGGGAGGTGGGAAGTGAGATCACCCTGGGCTTCCTGGGCCAAGGTGGCGGCTGCCAGTGTAATTCTGAGTGTGATGGGAGTGTACAGAAACCTCGACATGCCCCACTCTGTCAAAATTCAGGCGAGCTGGTCGCACTTCTGTCAACCTAGACACAGGTATTGATCTCATCCAAGAAATGGAGAAAATGCTGCTTTCGTGTTGTGGGTGGAAGCTTGCAAGTGCTTCAGTGACAGGGAGGTCACCGTCCCTTTAGGGAGTTACCTCTAACTTCTCACAGTCTTCTGTTTCAGACTTGGTATAGAGAAGCCTTCCTCCTCCTCCCTCTCTGGCTTCAAGGTTGGTACCACAGCACTGGGGCAAAAAGCTGCCCAACCCTTGCTGGGTCTCACTGCCAACCTCACAGGCACTTTGGAGTTCATGCAGATTTTTCAAGGTCCCCAACTCCAGTTCCGTGACTTCCCAAGATAGTGAGTACTCTCTGTGGCAGTGATTATAGCTGGGGGTCTTCATTTTACTGGAGCTGGTCAGGATGGGTCAGTATGCATTTCCATTCCTGCAATTTCTCTACCTAATTTCAGCTTAGGCGGCAGTCCCAGTGCACTTCTTCTGCATGCAGCCACAGGAGGGCAGGGAGGTTCCCTTTTGTTTGGAACAGACCAATGGATTATAGCATTTTAAGCTAAGGATGGACTGGGAGAGAGTCCTTACTCAAACCTGGCCAGCAATACCCCAGCCCTAGATGCCAGCTAGGTCCCCTCAAGAACAAACGAAGGTACAAGGCCATCTGCATCTCCAATTGTCATTTGTATGTAAAAAGGGAGGACAAAGGATACACACCTATACATGTATTTTTTTAAAAATAAATCTCTGCAAAGGTAGTTGAGAATTAAAACTGTTGCTGCTTGTCTCAGGTCAAGGAAACAGATGCTGGATGCATGTGTATGTGGGGGGTGCAGAGGGGTAGGTTCTTCCCTGCCTGTGAACTTGAATTTTGAACTGTGGAGCTGCATTTTTGTTTCAAAGAATTAAGTTGTGTAAGAAGGAGAAAGGACAATGGGATAACTTCCCAAGTTTGTGAGTGGAGGGGGCTGGGTTTGAACCCTGTCTGTCTGGCTCCCAGGCCCCCACTCAGACACAAGGAGACACAGGACCTTTCTGCAGCTTTGTCACCATAGCCAGCAACTCTTCCGTATTCTTTGAAGACTTGGCCTGCCCTGTGGGGATACAAACCAGAATTACAGGACTCCGCCAGAGTGAGGTGTGGAGTTTGTTTCTTGATTTTTCTGTATCTCAAAACTTTCATAATAACCCACGAAGGTCATCATTTAACAATTCTTAATGAACTGATAGGTCTAGGGAATGGTTACAGAAGGCTGCTAACATTAAGAAACAGACTACTAAATACTGTGAGTCTCTTGATGGAAAAACGCAACCATACCAATGAAGGACTTTTGCCAAAAAATCCCTGCACAAAACAAAAAATGGACTCTTAGCCAGATTCCGTATTTAAATACTAACTCAGAAAAAAGGCAAAGGGTAGACAGTCACGCCAGGGGACACCGCTGGGGATGCAATCACCGTCATGCAGGTTGTGGGGAATTCCACAGGAAGTCTGCTTTCTTCAATAAACTAACTGCAAAACCTCTCCCCCAAATAAACAAACAAACAAAAAAAAAAAATGAGGGAAAGAGAAAACTCTGTAAATTAAAAAAGACCTGAGCCATATAGCAATCAGTTACAATGAATAGACCCTATTTGGATCCTGGTGCAAACAAACACAATTTTTCACCATAGATGCTTTTCTATGTATTTTAACATAAGTATGTGCTACTTTTAAAATTCAAATGACAACGACAAAAAAAGACAGGAACATACTAATACAGGGTGGCTGTGAAGTTTGTGTACAATTTACAACTGTGTGGACATGCAGGGGAGGGGGCTGTGGAACACAGTTCAACCGAGTACACCATTATTCTGCTTTCATCTTTGTGCTTGCAATGCAGCTACTGAACACACCTAGATAAAGGGTCTGTGTACTATCAAATTTGACTGATATTGAAAAATTGCCTTCTACCTGTTTCAGGCCCACAAATGAATCCTTTTTCATTTTTTTTGTAACCAATCTGAGAGTCAGAAACACTGTTTCATTTAAGATTTTCTGATCATATCAAAGCGTTAACTCATCCTCTTGATCAGAAATTCCACACCTAAAAATGCAACTTAAAGAAGTAATTACGTCCATCCAGGTTATTATAAACGCTGTAAAATCTCCATTTTTGATGGCTGTATAATACTCCATAGTGTATATATATTCCACAGCTTACCAATCACAGGAGTGGAGAAGTAAGAATCCTATGTATTCAATTTTGACATGAAGATAATTAATGACACGGTGAGGCATGCGGGAAGGGGAGATCAGACAGAGAAGGAGCAAGGGGGTGTGGGCAACAAAAAAAAAAAATGACTAATTCTCACACAAACTGGATTTAATTTTGATCAATGTATATTAAACATCAATTTTTAATTCAACAAGTCAATATGTTGTTTATCATATTGCATCCTTATTCATCAGTGAAATATGTCTGTAATTTCCCCTTTATAGTAATATATTTTTTCTAATTTTACTATCAGGGGTATCCAGACTAAGTAGAATGATTTTGAAGTATTTCTATTTCTACTGTCTATAAGACTTGGCGTGATCTGCTTTTTTTTTAGGAATTATTTTTTACTTTTATTTATATATATTAGTCATCTATTTTTTTGAGACTTTGGTAAAAACATAGTAAGGGAAAAATTTGTTTGCCATTTGTATTTTGTCTTGTGTATTCTGTAACAAACAAGTAGTAAGTGATTATGTATTAAAAAAAAAAAGAAGTAATTACGGATGGTGGGCAAGATGTGCATTGTTTCACTGCTTGTAATTTTGAAATATGAGAGTAACCTAAAGATACCGGAGGGGATTAGTTAATTACAGCATGATAGTAGGATGGAATTCTTTGCAACCATTAAAAATCATGCTGTAAATTAGGGGGATTTAGCCTGAGGTCGTTAAATTTTGTTGAAATGTTTCATGGCATATTCACTTTCTTTACATCTTTTGGTCTGGTTTGAAATCTTTAACAAGTTACTATGCATTAGTTTAACCTCCCATCTCAATATTTAATTCCTTACATAATGAACAAATTTAGAAAAACACAAGTAACCTATAGTCCCTTTTCTAAGTCATTCCCCTTCCCAGAAGTGACCATTGCCAGGTGACAATACTTGGACCTTTTAATAGGAAACATTTCACGTATTGGTTTAATTTTTACTTTTTTACCCACGTGAAATTCTAAGAAAATCAAAACATTACAGAATATGTGAAGTTAAAAATGAAACTTCCTCTTCTCTTCTTGGCCTTAAATATCCCTGCCTTCCCAGACATGAATAACCAGGTATGTCTCAAAGAGTTTTTAATTTTAAAAATATTCTTAATATTTGGAAATAAAAAATTAATGCCACTTCAATAACAAGGGCAAGTGTTTATAATAGCTTCTTTTTAATACTTTATTATAAAAACTTTCAAATGCGCATGAAAGTAGAAAGGATACTCTGGTGAACTCTGATGGACTCATGGCCCAGATCCTACAATCATTAATATCCACCCACATTTGCTCCAGCTATTTTTCCTGTGTTGAAGTATTTTCGAGCAAGCCTCAGACTTCTTGTCATTTTATTCCCAGATACCTTATTAAGAGTCTCAACTACGTAAGGGCATTTTCTTAGATGACCCTAATCCTATAATCATGCCTGATGAGGTTAATGCTCATCCTGGGTGATCACCCAGCATCTAGACCAGGCGTCCTCAAACTACGCCTTGCTGAGGACATTTATCGGGCCCACCGGGTGTTTTTGCCACCACTGGCTGTCCTGCTTAGCAGCCGACTTGTCCTGGGGCCTGCAGTCCAGCCCTCCAACAGTCTGAGGGACAGTGAGCTGGCCCCCCATTTAAAAAGTTTGAGGGCCCCTGATCTAGACCATGTTCAGTTTCCCCTGATGGTCCTCACATCCTTGACAGCTGCCCTTGCAACCACTTCTGCAAAAGCTCCATCTGCTTTCTAGAGCTAGTCATGAAATAATGTTGAAAGTGGGTGGTAAGTAAATCTTTTAAATAATCCATCTAACGCCATGATAAAATTTTAAAAGTTTGCATGGTACAAAAGAAAACAGCCTGTAGAGTATGAGCACCCTTTTAAACATTTTATTTGGAAATAATTTCAGATGTACAAAGTTGTAGAAATAGGCCACAATGCTCCCGTTTGCTCTTCTGTCAGATCCCCCACTTATGAGTGGTTCTGAACCATAAGTTGTAGACATCTTGGCCCACTACTCCTAAATATTCCTAGATGCAGAGGGACTACCAGGTAACCACAAGGATAACCATCAAAACCTGGATGTTGGCTCCGTGCCTATAGCTCAACCGGCTAAGGCGCCAGCCACGTACACCTAAGGTGGCGGGTTCGAATCCCCAGCCCGGACCCGCCAAACAACAATGACGGCTGCA